CCCATCATACCCCCCCAAAAAAAAAAAAGCAGGCAGCCGCCGCCTGACGCGACCTACGGAGGAGACCAGAAGGGCAACAGATGCCGTTCGCCAACAGTCCGGCAGCTCAACCTGTAACCGCAGCGCGAACACTCGCGCCGACAACAGGCAGGCAGCTGCCCGCGGCTCAAGGATAGATGCTTTCAGCGCTAACGTAATCAGAATAAAAGAGCAATTAGTGAGGAGACTTAATAATGAGTCAGCAAGCCCCTTCTCCTCCGACCTTTCTCTCCCCCCGCCGCACGTACTGCGTCGAACTGGGTGAAGAACTCTTCGGGCTTGCTCTCCACGCTCTCGGGGTCAGCTTTCACGTCCACCATGGGATTGAGGTTCTGCGCCCGCTCCAGCGAGGCTTCAGCTCTGTTGCGGCCCAAGGAACCCACGGGGATGAGGAACTGAGCTCGCGTGTCCTCTTGGGAAACCTGAAACGGGAGAAAAGGGAGAGATGAGTCTTCCCGTGCACTCGGGCAGGGTGGGAAAAGCGACAATATAGCAAACAAAGTGTTGCAGAAATGAGGTCAAACTAGAGGTTAATTCATAAGAATCAAAATGATTAACAGCAAAATGTTTGTTTGATGCAATAATCATCATAACAAAAAAAAAAAAAAAAAAAATCTCTGGTTATTTTGCACTATTCTTCAATCCCCCGCAGCTTTGTAGCTCGCTTCTCCCAGCTCCCGAGCTCGCAGCTCCCTCTTGCGCCTGAGGAGACGCCGTGCCGTGACCTGGAGGCCACGTTCGCATGAGAAACATGTTCAGCCGGCGCCGGCGACGTTTGCCGCAGGGCACAAAGCTCTGGATCGGGAATTAAAACCCACCACAGAGTCTGTTTAGGGGTTCCGGGGTCCGGGAGACTCGTGGCAGGAGCTTTGAGCCCCACATCTGCTTCACACGTGCCTGCCAGCCCCAGATAAACATGGGAAGGGGACGTCCCGACAGAGATAGACGGGAGAGGGCTGGGTGGAGAGCTGCTAACGCCAAAGCCACGCGTCCCCAGAAATAAACTGGCTTCTCAGAGCGGGGCGCAGCACCCGAGGATGTCTGGAAAGCAAGAGGGAAGGCTGTGGTTCAGTCCCTCAGCTCGAGAGCGGGCGGAGGAACGCAGCCTGGCATTTAGCTGCCAGGCAAACGACTGGAAACGCAAACTCTACATGCCCCAAAATGGAAAAATCCACCCCAAGCAGAATATTTATCCCAAAAAGCAGTGAGTCCTCCAACGCTGGCACCGTACCGCACCGGGGAGGGCTCTGGGAGCTTCGCTAACCCCCAGCGCCGCAGCCGAGAGAAGCTGCGAGCTCCTCACCTGCTGATGGTCCAGCATGGTCAAGCCTTTGACTCCCGCCAAGATGAGATTCTTCGCCACTTCTGCTCCGAGACCCTTCATCCCCACCAGCAGCACCCGGGAAGCTCGTAACCTGCGGCAGAAACACTCGGTCAGCCTTAACGGCTCAGCTGGAGCGTCCCCCGAGGGGTTGGGGCGAAGGGGAATCGGCGCTCGGAGGGAAAACACGGGGAATAAATACGGCTGGGCAGGAAAGCCACGCTCCTCGGCATCCCTGCGTGGGGAAAAGCAGGTTTAACACGATTTGGAAGCAAAGAGAGAAACACGCAGGCTGTCAGGAGTGGGTAATTCAGGGAAATTCACAGGAAAAAAGGGCGTTTGCAGCTTTGGAAGAGGGAATAACACCAAAGTCTTGCGCCGCTTTTCAGCAAACACGGTGGGGGGAGTTGTGGATTCACTGTAATGCGCGCTTTGGGGTTCTTAATAGCTCCCCAGAAAAGGGCTGGAGCTCCTCCTTAAGCTACACTGGGATGCAGATAAACTATAATTAATGGGAAATGAATAAGTTTTTGTGTATATTTATTCCAGCACAAAACTGCGCGTGCAAGTTTTACGTTTTCCGAATAACTGACCAACGTGTTTTCCTCGCCTTGTATCATTTAGGTATTTCCCTCCCCCGCCTTGGAAGTCTGTTATTGATGAGTCTGTATCGGTTTTCCGACAAAATCAAGTTTACTCAGCACGAGCGACAATCCGGGCTGTTAAACAGAGAGAATCCTGCTTTTTTGGGCTATTTTCACGCTCGTTTTTATCTGCGTCCAGCAACGTCAATATGTTCGTCTTCATATTTTGGGGTTATTCCACCTTCTCCTGAACGAACCCCATTGGCTGCTT